AGCAATTGATTCCGTGCACACAAAATCTTCGTGATTTAGAGGCGTCCGCTTAGCAATTCTTAGTGACTTTAGTGTTTCATCACCACACAAGTCAAAGGATCCGAAATTCGCACGTTTTCTAGGGATATTTTATCTTTCAAGTAGGTCCTCAAATCCAACGAGATGTGAAGCACACGGCGCATCCCAGAGTGGGCCCAGTTGGTTGCGCGCGCTTCAGCTACGGCTATCTTGATAACGAATCTTAATTCAGGAAGAATCAAGAGGGTTCTGAAAGAGTTCATGTTAAATTACAGAGAGGAGTACACTATTCAACAAGAAACGCAGCCTTCAGCGTCAAATTCACAAGCATGTAACCTTTAAAGTTGAGACCCGCTAAACAATTTTACACTTTTTGCAGAGAGAAAAGCACGAGGATTTTGAATCTGCTCCTACTTCAGTATGTAATCGCTCCTGCAAGGAGCTATAGTCGTTGGGATAGTGCTAATGTAGCGAAAAAGTACCTTTCGGCGGTACTCGGGCAAAAAAATCCTCAACGTGGCCATTTTTTAAATAGTGAACGTATTTAGCAGTTTTAGTTGCCTCTAGAAAGAGCAAATCTTCTAGTTTATGATGACGTATTAACTTTCCAGATTGCATGAGTTTGAACGGAGTTATGGCTTTGGAAAGCGTAAAAACTCGCACTCATCACGAATTTTCCTCGTTAATTTTGCAAAAATCCTCAACGTGGCCATTTTTTGAGTACTGGACGTATGAAGCTGCTTTAGCGACCGTTTGATAGAGAAAATCTTCTAGTTTTGTATGACGTATCAACTTTTTGAATTTGACGGAAATGAAGCAAGTTATTGCTCCGGAAAGTGTGTAAAAACTTCGTGCTCGTCTTCGAATTTTCCTCGTTAGTTCTTGATGGCTAACTTGGTGTATTTCTTTTATAACTCCTGTAAATTTCGGAGTACGTGGATCAGGAAAAAGAGCTAGTTCAGGCAAAACTCTCCCAAATCAGCTTTCAGATTGAAAATTCGTTAACTTTGAAGAAAGTTATAATCATTTGAATATTTGTTCAAATTTCAATAGTAAATAAGCTGCTCCACGGTCAACGCCAAAGTCCAGTCAACACACAGCTGGCGAAGGCTTTTACAAGGCTTCCTTTGAGCGAAAGGGTACTTTCTAGAGCACTGATTCACCATCATCCCAAGTATAGTTTTACCCCTGACTCTACAGCTTTCGAATTTCAATCACACTTCAGTAAATTTTGAACGACTGGAAAATTTTAAGGATAGCTGATAAAGTGCATGCTTACAGGAGTTTGGAATATGTGCTGAAGATGCGGATGCGATCGTTGTGCGAGCAGTTCCGGAGGCGTCGACCGGACAAACTGCACCAGTTTGCGATCTGCAGAAACTCTTCCGTGAACTACGCTCACTCGGCTGCAAACTAGCGTTGTGTACTGCCGACAGCAGGTACTGAATTGAACGTGCATTCTGAAAAACCGAAGTATTTCAGTCAGTAGTGTAACTACTACAGATCTTTGAGCTTCGAACTCAAGGCAAATTCATCGGAACTAGCCACGCCTTAACCTTTCAACTAATTTTATAGAAGCATTGAGATGTACCATCTCTCTCCAGCGGTCAGGTGCGCGCTGACAAGGAAAGGCTCTCAGGTCGCCATGGCCATTCAAGAAGAGATGTATACCGCTAGATGTGCTTTGAACGCTGATCTCAAATCTACCTTCCAAATCTGCTAAACGATTCTCTGAAGGGAGTTATGAAGCAAAACAGCGCAACGGCAGTGGTCGGGATTTGCAGTCAAAACGTCGTAGGATCGGCCCCTGATCGCGTTTACTGTCTTGCGTTCTTCAGGAATTAGGCTAAATAGGCTATTAAAGCCTTTTAGCTGTACTCCTGAAGAAGGCAAAACAGTAGACGCGATCAGGGGCCGATCCTACGACGTTTTGACTGCAAATCCCGACCACTGCCGTTGCGCTGTTTTGCTTCATAACTCCCTTCAGAGAATCGTTTAGCAGATTTGGAAGGTAGATTTGAGATCAGCGTTCAAAGGCACATCTAGTGGTATACATCTCTTCTTGAATGGCCATGGCGACCTGGGAGCCTTTCCTTGTGAGTGCAGACCACACAACACAAGTGACGACGGCCTTTGAGTAAATCTGATAACTAGTGGTTCATAGTGATAGCTGACAGATTGTAAATGATAGTTGTAATTAGTGACAAGATGATAAAATACAACTGCAACCTGCTAATCATTTCAAAACAGAGCAATTACATTTTGTGGAGGCATCGGTCATTTTGTCTGCAAACGAAGAGCATCTGACCATTTGAGACAAAAGATGAGTATGGATAACTGTTCTTAAAAAATAATAACCACTATAATTAAAGTTTCGGTGTAAATATGGCTAGAACGAGGCCTTGACCTATATTTCTCTTGGGATTTTTGAGATTCGCCATGCATTTGATGTCCATCCAGGGCATTCGACTTATTATTTGTTAGTTTATACTATATCGCATATTTCATCGAAATACTCGAGGCGGACAGATGTAAAGTGGTAGTTGACGTGCGAGCTCGATTTCACCAGACCCATCCGGCACGAATTTAAAGACTCCCGTGAAGGGTTTGGTTAGGCTGGAGAAGATCTGATCCGAAATTCGATCTCCGGACAGTCTATGTAGTGGCTAGTACGAATTTATTTGACTTAACAGCACACGAGGTTGACAATGATTCCGTCGGCTAACGTTTCGGCGATTTCGCCTTCTTCGGAGCCTAAAAAGGTGGAAACCAATTCACGATTTATCCGACCAAATGTCTCCCTACCCTACGAGACCTTCGAGACCAGCTAAACCATCACATAATTAATAGGCAGATAAAGTACCGTACCTTCCCGATCAGCGGAATCAGCTCACAGGAACGACAGTATAGCGGATATCAGACTGATCAGAGTTCAGGGTTCCGGCTGGAAGGCTAACCTTATATGGGGGTTGTTGTTCCCGCACTATTGACACACATTATGTAGTGCCTGTTCTCTTAGATTGTAAATGTTGGAAAAGGGCTTGCAAAATTCATAGCAAAGCTATATCAAGGCAGATTTTGTCGAGGCAGAAAATCTTATGACAATTTTTCCCCACAGAAGATCTTAAAAGTTTGTTGTAGAGCGGCGACCGAGCAACAGATGCGCCTTCTTGGTATCGCCTCACTACTCGACGACGTTGTTTGCGGTAACGACCATGGCATCATACCGAAGCCAAGCCCCCACTGCGCTATTCAGATCTGCAAACGACTTGAAGTACCACTACACGTAAGCTTATCAATAATTCCAACAGAAGTACTATCACGAAGGCATACACTATCTAAATTATGCGCGGAGTTACCAGATCATGCAAGTGCTGCCCAAGAATAATTCTATCCGTTAGTGAGTAGCCGGGTCCGCAAGCACTGGAGTGGTAGCACCTTCGGTTCATAGAAGTGTACGACAATAGTGGTAAGGTCTCGCTTGGATTCCCGCGACCACTGCCATTTTTACTCTTTCGTAGCATACGCGATGTCTGCACCCTCTTCGACGGAGTACTCTTTTCTGTACCTCCTCTCCTCGCCACACTGTGTCTCTCCGTCATACCACCGTTGATTTCACAAGAGAAGGAAGTCCCTAACCTCAGCAATTTCCAGTGGTTCTGTTTGTTTTTTTTCTCACTGCGCTTCTTTTTGAATCCGCTTTTTCCTTAACCAAACGAGACAACACGTCACTTCGATCGCGGTCACCGCCCTTAAGTCGCAAAAAATCGAATCAGAGTTATTCCGGAGGGAACATCGTCCAAAAAGACTTTAGGAAATTCGTCCTGTTGTGGAATTCCACTCAAAAATACCGACGTAATTTGCATCGCCCACGTCAGTGTTAGCCTTCTTATGCGCTTTTCAGAATAAATTCCCTTCGAATAGCCACAAATTGCTTTATCAACTGATTTCGAAAAGACGTCACGACGCCTTGCTTTATTCAACTCGATTTTCGAGGGAACGCTTTTGTTATGAGCGCTGCATGAACGAGTAAGAAGTTTCTAAAGAGAATTCGTCTAATCTTTCCTACCGACTCGTTTCATGGATTAGCACGAAGTGCTGCTCCATGAAGTCACACTTTTAGCGAGCTACCTCATAACAGCAGTTGCCACTCCGTCTCGCCCCTTCCCCCTAGGACCGTATGAAAGGAAGCTGGACCTTGCAAAGGGTTAAAGCGCTTTGGATCAATAGGCTTGCTACGAGCACCACATTTTATAACCCGCACCCGTGAACACCTCGCTTATTCAACCCACCTTTAACGCGCTTCAAACGCACATCTCAAATTCGTCTTCACGTCCACCTTCGCTTCCATTTCGTCGAGTCGTACAGAGCCCGGAAGAAAGAATCTTACTAACCACTGCGTTTCTCAAATTTTCTCGCTGGCGCCCATTCCATGCAGGGTCAACCGTCCGTTCGAACAGTTCGAACGGGGGGGTCGCATTTGGGTTCTGGGAGGGAAAAGGGGTCGCATTGCGCGCTTCGGTGATCAGGTAGGGCAGAGGTGTGCGAAAAAAGTTGCCGTTTCACTGGTTGTATATACCCCCGCTCGACGGCTATTTTTGGGGGAAAAGTGGGTGGAGTTTCGGAGTTTTAGGTAGGTTTTGGGCTGTGTCAACTGGTCTCAGAATCAAAATACTATAAGAAGAGGTGTCCTGGGGGGGGTCCGCCATGACCTCTCGAGTGGGAGGGGGTCGCAAAATATCGAAAATGTTCGAACGTGACGGTTGACCCTGTCGCGTCCAGTTCCAACTCATAAGCCTCCAGCCAACTTGGTGAGTAACAGCGATTGGTAGTGAGGCGTTAAGGAACGCGGACACGAACTTTTTCAAACGCAATCGCTCACTGCGATCCGACTCCTATTCCTATCTATTTGGCCAACCGAAAGCGGGGTTCGCAATCGCCAAAAGGTCGCAAATAGGCGAGAGCATAAACTTCGTACTGCTTTTCGCAACTGTTACCCAAGATACAATGGCGCAGCTATCTTATGAAGCACAAAGCTTGTGCTATTCGTTGCACCATTATTCCCCAAATTTCTTGCTAAATGAATTGAAAGAGAGCTGTGAGTGATTGAGTGTGGAACTCGTGGCGTTCTCAATCACCACAGAATCCATGGAAAAAAGTCGCAACGGGACGATTTTTTGGACGGGATCATTTTGAAACGAGATCAAGTATTCACTGGAAAGCTCTAACCTTCTAGTTTCTTCCAGGGGACAAGAATTGCAAAAAGTTCAATCTGAAGAAAGTTATAACAGTTCAAAGCCAAAAAACCAGCGCTCTGCCAAAAATCGGTCCGCGATTTCCCCAAAACGGTCCAACGGGGCGATTTTTGACTCCATCAATTTTGAAAAGAGTTCAAGTATTCGTTAGAAAGCTCTAACCTTCTAGTTTATTTCGAGGAACAATAATTGCAAAAGGTTGAATCTAAGAAAGTTATAGTCATTGAAAGCCAAAAAACCCGGTTGTGCACAAAAAACGGTCCAACGGGGCGATTTTTTGAAGAAATGAAACTTTACAAAAGTTTGAGTACTTTTTAGAAAGAAAACAATCTAGAGTTTCAAAATTTTCTTACCACTTCTCACACTTTCTTATTTGAAGAAAATTACAACCTTTTAAATGAAGAAGTGCGCATTTCTGTGGATTCTTAATTCTCTACCCATAACCAAAGCAGTTCTGGAGATACTGCACAAACGTGGTAGTTTTTGGAAACTAGCAAAAAAATATATCCGTGCTGGGTCTAGGAGGGTGTAACGTTCGAAGTAGTAGTACGAATTAGTACGCAAACACACCCAAATACCAAGGGGGGGGGGGTCGTAAGAATTTTCGAATAGGTCCAACGTGGCGGTTGACCTTGCCCATGACCAGAACTCTGTGTGCTGAGCGGAACCCCGTGGACAATCTAACGCCTTAGCGGCTCTCACTAGCAAGTTCGTGTCGCGAAATAGTGCGACCGGAATGCTAGCCTCTCCCTCCAGCTTGCTCGCGCAAAGGTTTATTCCACTAGCCTAATACTGCCCTGCGCCTTTAAACAACGTCTTAACAAGACAAGCGTCGGTATGAGTGCGGCTTCTTAATTTTTGAGCAAAGACGATAACCACTTGTTCACTTTCAAGCATACCTAAAAAATTCGCCTCTACATTTCAGCAAGCAATAATGGTCGGTGACACGATAGCGGACCTGAAAATGGGCCGAGTAGCGGGCCTACGGGCCAGTGTAGGCGTGTTGACTGGCGTTGGCAATCGGGACACTCTCAAGGAGTACAGCGACTATTTTGTAAGTATAAACTTCCTTGGAAAGCTTTTTATTTTATGTGATGACGTCATTTCCAGCTTGACAACGTCAGTGAATTGCCATTACTGATAGCGACAAAGATCAACCAGAACACCAAAAGAGGCTAGCTAGGAAATCGTCGAGTCACCAGTTTCACTCCGCCGTCGTACTCCACTACTCTATTCTACTGACCCCAGCCGTAATTACTAACTCTTGCCGCTGACCAAACCCATGGTCTACCTATTTATCGGAATCACTGACCCCTACTAACCCTGCCAGGGATATGCCTAACGAATAGCATTATTCTAAAAAACTCGGGTTTCATTTCGTGCTAAAATCTTCACCAATCACTTACCCTTCTCGACCCGAAACTTCCTAGAAAGTCGGCATTTTGCATATCCCTGGCGAACTGATCTCTAACTACGTCGTATTACTAAACTGCTGAAACTGGTCCCTGATGTTACCCGAGTGAATTTGTGCATTTGTTCGTAGTTTCTCGTTCCGGTGTCTCCTTAAGTATCACTAGCCCAATTGGGTGTGAGTGAAGAGTACACGCCGCGCCACAAAATGCGAGAGGTAGCCCGAGTTGTTCGAACCGCGCGCTTATCCTGCCCACGCCTGCGCCTTCTTGCTGGTGTGCCCTGACTATTGCATCCAGTACCGAGTCGCAACTTGTCCTTTACCCTTTCGCGGCAGGACCACCCGGCTGGCATGCCACAGTCCTGCCATGATAGATTGAGTGCTGAGAAAAGAGAACAAAGGCGACATTGTGAATTGACGTGTTTTGAAATGAGTGGATTAATTTGAGCGCATTTTGTAGGGCGCGGACGACGTGTGTTCTTTGGCACATACCCACCTCTACCAACCCAGTTCAGGAAGGCTCCGGGCAACCATTGGATGCCAATCTGTTACCTTGAGTGAAAACGTATCTCGAATGCGGTGATTTTGAATTGTGAAACTGTGCCATTAAGTTCGAACTAGGGCCAGTTACCATTGAATGGGAGTGGAAATATTGGTCACAAAAACGCATCCGAGTTGCCGCACGCACAGCAGCGCGTCGAATCCAATGTTGTCCGCAAGGGCATTCCTGGTTTTTAGGACAGGCTACTTCACTTCACGTAGAATCTGGCTTGATTACGAATAATTGTTGTAATACAATC